TCTTTTCTTTCCAATTAACCCCCATTAGTATCCTCGAAATGATAAACATAATATTATCTGTTACGCAGAAAAAAAGCCATGGTCCAGATGAGATCCCATGCATTCTTTTAAAGTCAATCGTAAATCTGATTGCACCTCCTTTGACAGATATGGTTGGCATGTCCTTTTCAGAGAGAACATATCTAAGAGCTCTCAAGGTATTGTTTGCCCAGCGAATCTGAGTCTACGGAAGGAATTCGGAGGTAAATGTGCCATGTTGTCACGTTTAATTATAAAAAAGCGAAAATACTTGGCATGAAGTATAGTTCATTTGAAAATCCATTTTTTAATAACAAAATATTGATAACAATAATAAAACGCTAAATATTTTAACGTGGCTGTTGGATCTATTCTTGTTTTAATCCTGATTTCTTCAATTTGGTTTATTGTAAAAAATAAACATTTTCTAAAGATACCATCAGCTTTTGACAATTTGGCAAACATCCGGCCTGGATGGACCTGATTGGTGGAGTTTTTGGCAGGATCGCCGTTGCCATGGGGAACCATACGGTTGTCAATGAGTTAACGTCACCTAACATCTCGCTATTGGCCAGGGCTTACGTCATTTTATCCTCCCATCTTGGAATATCGATTTATATTGAAATATCCAGTGGCGGAGATTTGGTAATTGCTGATTTTCGTGTACGAGTTGCAATACGATAACACTTCCAAAAAGTTCCGCACGCAGCTGGGTATTTTATGAATGAAATCAGCCATTTTTTTTACAACTGCATTCCCCTTACCGTTGCCCCGTAGACACAGATTCGCTGGGCAGACATTAGTGCGTACCATTCCCATTTCTTACAAGGGGGACATCAAACCTGTCAAATTATAGACCAATATCCAATCTATCGGAAAAATTTTTGCAAAGCCAACTAGGAGAATATTTTATAGAAAAAAAATTACTTTCATCTACCCAACATGGCTTCTGTAAAAGTAAAAACACAACAACAGCCCCTTTTGAAATATCAAATAAAATACACCGAGACCTGGATGAGGGTTTACACACCGCTGGCATTTACTACGACATGTCTAAAGCATTTGATATGGTAGACTTTGAACTGCTTTTCGAGCTGGACTCCTATGGAGTGAAGGGTGCTGCCCTAAACTGGCTCAAGAGTTGTTCGCCGGATAGAGAACAATAAAGCACAGAACATATCACCTATAGAAAAATATCTCAAATGGGAGAATCGCGACGAAGGTTTTTAGTTAGGTTTTCAATCAACGATGGCGACACTATCGGGAGATAAGAGAAATTTACAGGTATCTGTGGTGTGGACAGTGAGTTGTGTTGGTTGATTTTGTCATTTATTTTGTCATTTCAAAAGTCAAAATTTGAATTTTTAAATTGTGTTGTTGTAAACCATGGTCCCCACGCGCGTTAAAGTGAAAATTCAAAAAGTTTTGGTTGAAAAAAACCCTAATTTTTGTTCGTATTTTTTTGTATTTGTTCGTTTGTTTCGTTTCGTTCGTATTTGTATTTATTATTTGTATTTACTTTGCGATCTACCTATAGCTGCGTGTCGCTTGCTAACTTACTAACTCTCTTTGCACTATGTTCGACATTGGAAACTTCCTGCCAGTCATAGTTTTCAAGAAAATGAAGCGAAAAGAGCTAAAAGGAGTCAGCAAGCCAAATGCAGTTGAGCATTAAAAATTATTTAAAAATAATAAAAATATAGGGAAAAAATAGATTCGCCTTTTTGTCAAGAATGCTCGATTAGTTGGGTTTTCATTCAACGATGGCGCTGTAATTCATAACCGGTACATACCATTGCAGATACTTTTCTAGAGGTGATATGTTCTGTGCAATAAAGTCTGTTTTTTTTTTAAGATAAAAGTCAAAATGACATTATGTTGGTAATACAATGTAAAATTGTCAATGCTTTCAATTTTTTTATGTAGTAAAGGCTTGTGTTGCCAACATAGTTACTAAATTTTTGACTTGGGGAATTATCTTTAAGAAAAAAAAAAAACTTTATGTCGAAATACTTGACAAAAATAGCGGAAACGTTAAATCACTAAGAAAAAAAAATTGATTGATTTGCGGAACTTCCTCCGGGACAAAATAAAAGAAGAACATCATCTGGCTCAATTCGCAGATGACAATTCAATTACTGTTGGCTGTGAGGATATAGTTGAGTTATCAAGACAAAGCACAAGGGCATCAGAATCTGTAAATCTTTGGTGCACACAAAACAAACTATAAAAACTTCAGAAATAAAAACTATAAAATTGAAAGTTTCTACTCTAAAATCAACAATAAAAGCCTGCCTGTTGAGGAAAGTGTGAAGGTCTTGGGAGTTTGTTTTGATTGCCATCTTAACTGGAAGATTCACATTGAAAATATAGCCTCAAAACTTGAGAGTGGGCATTTTGCGGTCATGAGTCTAAAGGGGATTGTCGGTCCAAACCTTTTTATGATGTTCTATCACGCGAAAATAAATAGTCATTTGCAGTATGAAATTGTTCTCTGGGGCTCATCGGCATACACTGAAAGGCTACTAATCCTTCAGAAGAGAATTGTGAGACAAATTGCTGGGGCAGATTTCTTAGCTCACTGCAAACCTCTATTTGTAGATCTAAAAATAATGACAGTGTACTCACTATACTTATATTCCTTATCAGTATTTGTACATAAACACAAATAGTACTTTACAACAAATGCAAGTATCAATAGTGGTATGCAGACGTGGAATCAAAACCTCCTGAGTGTTCCAAAGCACAAAACTGCACTATTTGAAAAATCCCCTTTTTATATGGGTATCAAAGTCTTTAATAAAATTCCAAAGGAACTTCAGAGCCTAACATCTGAGAGAGTTTTCAAAAATGAAGCATACAAGTTTTTTTATAGATTAACCACTATACTCAATAAGAAAGTTTTTTGCCAGTTAGTTTCGCCCGGGTTGCGAATCTGATAATATAAATAAAAATTAAACTTGTTTACTATAAATTTTAATGTCTCATTTGTTTGTTTATAACTAAAAATGTTGTATATTGTTTGTAACTTTGTTTGTAATTTATGTATATTTGACATTATCCAATGCTTTTTGTAAAAGCCCAAAGGAAATAAATGAAATTGAATTGAATTGAATTGAACCTTCTAGGCGAAGTACGCCGGTAGGCTCAACCGTTACTATTTCAAATGGAATAAGGGATCGAGTGATATAGTCCGACAAATACCATTTTAAAGTCACGTGATACTGGTGGCAAAAAACGTATGTCCATTGATTATGTCGTTGATATCACCTACAAAAAGCTACTGGTGGTTAATTACTATTGAATTTTAATATATGTTCCCACTAACATTTTACAAACGCGTTTCTGAAGTAGTATTGACCAATCAGAGGGCAATTTTAATACTTACAATTGTTGCGAGACTCACTTTTGTCGCATCTGTTGTCTGTTGTAATACATTCTGAACTTAAACTGGGTACCCGTTTTCTATTTGCTTCTTTTCGAGTTGGAGAAAGGTTAATGTGGTCAAAATTATTAGCTGTGTTTGTTCGTTGTATTATTTTCGAAAATAACTTTGACAAACTAATTGATGACAGTGACGGATTCTATTTCAGGTAAGAATATTATGAACAATAATTAGACAGCAATTTTTTTGTCAATTTTACTATCACCGCTGTTTAAAATGTATTCGACAAGGATAGAGAAAAATCACGTGACTTTAAAATGGTATTTGTTGGACTATACCTCTTTTTAAAGAGCGTTGAATCATTCTCTTTCATTTGATGTCATTTGAAAGAAAATTGAACGCTCTTTTAAAACAGGTATCACTCGACCCCCTCTTCCATTTGGAATGGTAAGGGTTGGCCCCACCCCACCTAGAGGGTTGAGTTAGTGCTCCTGTTACGTTTCAAATGGTATACCCTGTACATATAAGTTTTTTAGTATTCACTGTTACATTTTGATCATGGACGATATTATTTGTTATTTTCAAAACAATATTGTCAAAAAAAATTATTTTCTTAGTTATTTTCACATAATTCTTGGATATTTGGATGCTTCTCTCTACTTTCCTACCGAACCACAAGATATTGAACTAAATTAAATTTTTCTCTGGGTGGTGATAATTGATAATGATTTGATAATGAGCACTACACAGTAAAGTAATTATTATCAAACTGCAAAAAAAAAGTAACAGTAAAATATGCACAATAAAATCACGTACCAGTTTTCAGATAAGAAAATTTAAATAATCGTCATCAAGGATTAAATTGATTAAAGCAAATTTGTTCTGCCCAGAAACAACAAAACAGTTAAGCGCTAGATAAATCAGACTTTTTGCAAAACATTTCCTGAAAATGTTTTTATTTTGAACCTGAATTTAATAGCTATTTATGTACCAAGGGGATTATGTAGATTATAACGCCCGAAGGCGAAACTAGCCCAAGGGCCTCTGGCCTGAGGGATATATTTCGCCTGAAGGGTATTATAATCTAAAAATCCCCGTGGTGCATACAATGCTTTATTTTCTACTCAACACAATGTTCTTTCATCAATTTAGTATCAAACAAAATCACTTAAACTTGTGTGTGAAAGAATATTGTTTTGCATTTTGACATGTACCTGTACCTAGAAACGAAATCAATTAATATATCTATAAACATCTCATAAAGCAAGGCAATGGTGGTCGTGTGGATTAACGCGCTCGACTACATGGGAGACGTTTATGCTAGACCGGGTTTGAATCCTGGCCAGACCGAAAATTATTTTCGGTCGGACATTTAGTGACTGCCTAGGGTAAAATGCAAATTAATAAAACAACAACAACAAAAACACATCAGGGTATTATAAGCGGGCGTTATAGATCATAACGCCCGCTGGGCTTATAATGCCCTCAGGTTGTTATAGGTATGTTAACGTATTTCGTTTCCTAGGTATTGTGGATCTATATCTATAATAGTTAAGTAGAAAATAAAATAATATAAAATATCAATAATTATTTTCAGTTACTATTTGTATAGTACCCAGCCCTCAAATCGCATAGCCAAAGAATTCTTCGGGAAAGATATGCCAGATTTGGACATCTTAGCCTATAATACCAGTTTGCATCTAATTAACACACATGTCAGCATTCACACTTCTAGGCCACTACCGCCAAATGTAATTGAAGTTTCTGGATTACATATCATGAAACCAAAGCCACTGAATGAGGTAACAATGATCCAAAAGAAGATTTACGAAACTATATAGTAAAATTTTAGCATCTTAATAAAACTCTTACGACTGACAAAAAGGGTATTATCTGTTTCTCATTGGGTTCAATAATTACATCTGAAACAACACCAGATAGTATGATGCAAGCAATGTTTGATGCATTTTCAGAACTTCCATACAAAGTGATTTGGAAAGCAAAAAGGGAAAATTTTTCAAAAATATTAAAGGTGCCCGACAATATTCATTTTGAAGCTTGGCTACCACAATTAGATATTTTGTGTAAGAACTAAAATTTCCTATGAATAATTAAAATGAAACAAACCTTTTCTAGGCGATCCAAGAGTAAAACTCTTTGTCTCCCACGGAGGTATGTTGGGATCACAAGAAGCAGTCTACTGTGGAGTCCCAATGCTTATGATTCCATATGTTGTGGATCAACATTTGAACAGTAAAGAATCGGAATTGATGGGCTACGCTTTGAAGTTGGATTCTGACAAAATTACCAAAGAAACTATGCTGCTGGCAATGAAAAAATTATTGGATGAGCCAATGTAAGAATAATTCGTCTGTTAAATAGCAATTAATAGCAAACTTTCAGTTATAAACAAACAATGAACAAAGTCTCTGACCAATTCAGAGACAGGCCTTTATCAGCTATGGACACTGCTATCTATTGGATAGAGTACGTTATCAGACACCAAGGGGCGCCCCATTTGCAAAGCCCTATAAAAAATCTATATTGGTATCAATATTACCTTTTAGACGTTGTAGCTGTTTCCATTGGAATACCTTTAGTTTTACTTATTTTATGTATAAAGTTACTTAAAAATCGTATTGGTTGTACAAAAGGAACAAAAATGAAGGTCAAAACGAAATAAACAATACATTTGACATTGAAATGAGATATGTCTATTTAATTTTGTGATTACAATAAGAAAAAAAATCAAAATGAACTCTAATTGGAAAATTAAAATGTTTAATTAGTAAAATAAAAAAATAATATATTTTTCTTACATAAGCATCACTTACTTAATCAGTAGTGTCAAGGTCATTATTTTCTACAATATGTATTTGGGTGCTTCTTCGACGTGACGGATTTAATGCAGGACTAACAACTCCTTGAGAAAATTGAACTCCTTTCCTCTTAGTAATATTGCTAGTTCGATTTTCTTTATTTTCAGCATTGCTATTTTGATGTTGCTTAATTTTTGAAGGTGATGAATCAGCTTTTACAAAGTCTTCACTTGTATTTATTGATGTATCTGTGGAAGCATCTTCTAAGAGATTTTGTGGGCTTAGTCTTAGTTTGTTTTCTACTGATTTGAGGCAACTTTTCAAGTCGGATCTGAAATAATGAAATTGTTTATTTATAAAAATGAATAAATCCAAAGGACATTACCGGTGTGAAGTTAGCAGCCTTTTTGCAGCAGCCAAAAATGTGAAGTTAGCAGCCATTTGTAGCAGCCAAAATTATGAAGTTAGCAGCCATTTTTTGGCAGCTCTTTTTTTTTAAATGGTTGATTTACAAATTTTGTGTACATTATTATTATATACCCTCGGGCAAAGTACAACAGAAAAACAAAACAAAAAACTACCCCTAATAAAACATCAAATAGAACATTAATATCTACAAAACAACTTTTTTAAAATAAAATGTGACACCATGAAATTTAGAATAGTCTTTAACATAGCCCTCAAGTACGTCTAGTTCGAAGAACAACCCCTTATTGCCGTCAGGCTGGGATCAACCCTTATTATTAAAATAATTGGAAAAGCACATTTCGGAAAAATGTAACACCATCAAACTCAGTGAAACGATCATCAGAACCATTTCGAACATTCCCATCAAAGGACAACCCCTTACCTGCCGTCAGAGTGTGTTAAAAACTACCCTTAGTACGAAAATAATAGAAAAAAATTGGAAAAACACATTTCGAGAAACTGTAACGCTCTGAAACTTGATTGGGACGATAACTAGAACCATTTCGAACATTCCCACCAAAGGACAACCCCTTACCTGCCGTCGGAGTGTCTTAAAAACTACCCTTAGTACAAAAATAATAGAAAAAAATTGGAAAAACACATTTCGAGAAACTGTAACGCTCTGAAACTTGATTGGGACGATAACTAGAACCATTTCGAACATTCCCACCAAAGGACAACCCCTTACCTGCCGTCGGAGTGTCTTCAAAACTACCCTTAGTACGAAAATAATAGAAAAAAATTGGAAAAACACATTTCGAGAAACTGTAACGCTCTGAAACTTGATTGGGACGATAACTAGAACCATTTCGAACATTCCCACCAAAGGACAACCCCTTACCTGCCGTCGGAGTGTCTTAAAAACTACTCTTAGTACGAAAATAATAGAAAAAAATTGGAAAAACACATTTCGAGAAACTGTAACGCTCTGAAACTTGATTGGGACGATAACTAGAACCATTTCGAACATTCCCACCAAAGGACAACCCCTTACCTGCCGTCGGAGTGTCTTAAAAACTACCCTTAGTACGAAAATAATAGAAAAAAAATTGGAAAAATACATTTCGAGAAACTGTAACGCTCTGAAACTTGATTGGGACGATAACTAGAACCATTTCGAACATTCCCACCAAAGGACAACCCCTTACCTGCCGTCGGAGTGTCTTAAAAACTACCCTTAGTACAAAAATAATAGAAAAAAATTGGAAAAACACATTTCGAGAAACTGTAACGCTCTGAAACTTGATTGGGACGATAACTAGAACCATTTCGAACATTCCCACCAAAGGACAACCCCTTACCTGCCGTCGGAGTGTCTTAAAAACTACCCTTAGTACGAAAATAATAGAAAAAAATTGGAAAAACACATTTCGAGAAACTGTAACGCTCTGAAACTTGATTGGGACGATAACTAGAACCATTTCGAACATTCCCACCAAAGGACAACCCCTTACCTGCCGTCGGAGTGTCTTAAAAACTACTCTTAGTACGAAAATAATAGAAAAAAATTGGAAAAACACATTTCGAGAAACTGTAACGCTCTGAAACTTGATTGGGACGATAACTAGAACCATTTCGAACATTCCCACCAAAGGACAACCCCTTACCTGCCGTCGGAGTGTCTTAAAAACTACCCTTAGTACGAAAATAATAGAAAAAAATTGGAAAAACACATTTCGAGAAACTGTAACGCTCTGAAACTTGATTGGGACGATAACTAGAACCATTTCGAACATTCCCACCAAAGGACAACCCCTTACCTGCCGTCGGAGTGTCTTAAAAACTACCCTTAGTACGAAAATAATAGAAAAAAATTGGAAAAACACATTTCGAGAAACTGTAACGCTCTGAAACTTGATTGGGACGATAACTAGAACCATTTCGAACATTCCCACCAAAGGACAACCCCTTACCTGCCGTCGGAGTGTCTTAAAAACTACTCTTAGTACGAAAATAATAGAAAAAAATTGGAAAAACACATTTCGAGAAACTGTAACGCTCTGAAACTTGATTGGGACGATAACTAGAACCATTTCGAACATTCCCACCAAAGGACAACCCCTTACCTGCCGTCGGAGTGTCTTAAAAACTACCCTTAGTACGAAAATAATAGAAAAAAATTGGAAAAACACATTTCGAGAAACTGTAACGCTCTGAAACTTGATTGGGACGATAACTAGAACCATTTCGAACATTCCCACCAAAGGACAACCCCTTACCTGCCGTCGGAGTGTCTTAAAAACTACCCTTAGTACGAAAATAATAGAAAAAAATTGGAAAAACACATTTCGAGAAACTGTAACGCTCTGAAACTTGATTGGGACGATAACTAGAACCATTTCGAACATTCCCACCAAAGGACAACCCCTTACCTGCCGTCGGAGTGTCTTAAAAACTACCCTTAGTACGAAAATAATAGAAAAAAATTGGAAAAACACATTTCGAGAAACTGTAACGCTCTGAAACTTGATTGGGACGATAACTAGAACCATTTCGATTATTCCCACCAAAGGACAACCCCTTACCTGCCGTCGGAGTGTCTTAAAAACTACTCTTAGTACGAAAATAATAGAAAAAAATTGGAAAAACACATTTCGAGAAACTGTAACGCTCTGAAACTTGATTGGGACGATAACTAGAACCATTTCGAAGATTCCCACCAAAGGACAACCCCTTACCTGCCGTCAGAGTGTGTTAAAAACTACCCTTAGTACGAAAATAATAGAAAAAAATTGGAAAAACACATTTCGAGAAACTGTAACGCTCTGAAACTTGATTGGGACGATAACTAGAACCATTTCGAACATTCCCACCAAAGGACAACCCCTTACCTGCCGTCAGAGTGTGTTAAAAACTACCCTTAGTACGAAAATAATAGAAAAAAATTGGAAAAACACATTTCGAGAAACTGTAACGCTCTGAAACTTGATTGGGACGATAACTAGAACCATTTCGAACATTCCCACCAAAGGACAAACCCTTACCTGCCGTCGGAGTGTCTTGAAAACTACTCTTAGTACGAAAATAATAGAAAAAAATTGGAAAAACACATTTCGAGAAACTGTAACGCTCTGAAACTTGATTGGGACGATAACTAGAACCATTTCGAACATTCCCACCAAAGGACAACCCCTTACCTGCCGTCGGAGTGTCTTAAAAACTACCCTTAGTACGAAAATAATAGAAAAAAATTGGAAAAACACATTTCGAGAAGCTGTAACGCTCTGAAACTTGATTGGGACGATAACTAGAACCCTTTCGAACATTCCCACCAAAGGACAACCCCTTACCTGCCGTCGGAGTGTCTTAAAAACTACTCTTAGTACGAAAATAATAGAAAAAAATTGGAAAAACACATTTCGAGAAACTGTAACGCTCTGAAACTTGATTGGGACGATAACTAGAACCATTTCGAACATTCCCACCAAAGGACAACCCCTTACCTGCCGTCGGAGTGTCTTAAAAACTACTCTTAGTACGAAAATAATAGAAAAAAATTGGAAAAACACATTTCGAGAAACTGTAACGCTCTGAAACATGATTGGGACGATAACTAGAACCATTTCGAAGATTCCCACCAAAGGACAACCCCTTACCTGCCGTCAGAGTGTGTTAAAAACTACCCTTAGTACGAAAATAATAGAAAAAAATTGGAAAAACACATTTCGAGAAACTGTAACGCTCTGAAATTTGATTGGGACGATAACTAGAACCCTTTCGAACATTCCCACCAAAGGACAACCCCTTACCTGCCGTCGGAGTGTCTTAAAAACTACTCTTAGTACGAAAATAATAGAAAAAAATTGGAAAAACACATTTCGAGAAACTGTAACGCTCTGAAACTTGATTGGGACGATAACTAGAACCATTTCGAACATTCCCACCAAAGGACAACCCCTTACCTGCCGTCGGAGTGTCTTAAAAACTACTCTTAGTACGAAAATAATAGAAAAAAATTGGAAAAACACATTTCGAGAAACTGTAACGCTCTGAAACTTGATTGAGACGATAACTAGAACCATTTCGAAGATTCCCACCAAAGGACAACCCCTTACCTGCCGTCAGAGTGTGTTAAAAACTACCCTTAGTACGAAAATAATAGAAAAAAATTGGAAAAACACATTTCGAGAAACTGTAACGCTCTGAAACTTGATTGGGACGATAACTAGAACCCTTTCGAACATTCCCACCAAAGGACAACCCCTTACCTGCCGTCGGAGTGTCTTAAAAACTACTCTTAGTACGAAAATAATAGAAAAAAATTGGAAAAACACATTTCGAGAAACTGTAACGCTCTGAAACTTGATTGGGACGATAACTAGAACCATTTCGAACATTCCCACCAAAGGACAACCCCTTACCTGCCGTCGGAGTGTCTTAAAAACTACTCTTAGTACGAAAATAATAGAAAAAAATTGGAAAAACACATTTCGAGAAACTGTAACGCTCTGAAACTTGATTGGGACGATAACTAGAACCATTTCGAAGATTCCCACCAAAGGACAACCCCTTACCTGCCGTCAGAGTGTGTTAAAAACTACCCTTAGTACGAAAATAATAGAAAAAAATTGGAAAAACACATTTCGAGAAACTGTAACGCTCTGAAACTTGATTGGGACGATAACTAGAACCATTTCGAACATTCCCACCAAAGGACAACCCCTTACCTGCCGTCAGAGTGTGTTAAAAACTACCCTTAGTACGAAAATAATAGAAAAAAATTGGAAAAACACATTTCGAGAAACTGTAACGCTCTGAAACTTGATTGGGACGATAACTAGAACCATTTCGAACATTCCCACCAAAGGACAACCCCTTACCTGCCGTCGGAGTGTCTTAAAAACTACTCTTAGTACGAAAATAATAGAAAAAAATTGGAAAAACACATTTCGAGAAACTGTAACGCTCTGAAACTTGATTGGGACGATAACTAGAACCATTTCGAACATTCCCACCAAAGGACAACCCCTTACCTGCCGTCGGAGTGTCTTAAAAACTACCCTTAGTACGAAAATAATAGAAAAAAATTGGAAAAACACATTTCGAGAAACTGTAACGCTCTGAAACTTGATTGGGACGATAACTAGAACCCTTTCGAACATTCCCACCAAAGGACAACCCCTTACCTGCCGTCGGAGTGTCTTAAAAACTACTCTTAGTACGAAAATAATAGAAAAAAATTGGAAAAAACACATTTCGAGAAACTGTAACGATCTGAAACTTGATTGGGACGATAACTAGAACCATTTCGAACATTCCCACCAAAGGACAACCCCTTACCTGCCGTCGGAGTGTCTTAAAAACTACTCTTAGTACGAAAATAATAGAAAAAAATTGGAAAAACACATTTCGAGAAACTGTAACGCTCTGAAACATGATTGGGACGATAACTAGAACCATTTCGAAGATTCCCACCAAAGGACAACCCCTTACCTGCCGTCAGAGTGTGTTAAAAACTACCCTTAGTACGAAAATAATAGAAAAAAATTGGAAAAACACATTTCGAGAAACTGTAACGCTCTGAAACTTGATTGGGACGATAACTAGAACCCTTTCGAACATTCCCACCAAAGGACAACCCCTTACCTGCCGTCGGAGTGTCTTAAAAACTACTCTTAGTACGAAAATAATAGAAAAAAATTGGAAAAACACATTTCGAGAAACTGTAACGCTCTGAAACTTGATTGGGACGATAACTAGAACCATTTCGAACATTCCCACCAAAGGACAACCCCTTACCTGCCGTCGGAGTGTCTTAAAAACTACTCTTAGTACGAAAATAATAGAAAAAAATTGGAAAAACACATTTCGAGAAACTGTAACGCTCTGAAACTTGATTGGGACGATAACTAGAACCATTTCGAAGATTCCCACCAAAGGACAACCCCTTACCTGCCGTCAGAGTGTGTTAAAAACTACCCTTAGTACGAAAATAATAGAATAAAATTGGAAAAACACATTTCGAGAAACTGTAACGCTCTGAAACTTGATTGGGACGATAACTAGAACCCTTTCGAACATTCCCACCAAAGGACAACCCCTTACCTGCCGTCGGAGTGTCTTAAAAACTACTCTTAGTACGAAAATAATAGAAAAAAATTGGAAAAACACATTTCGAGAAACTGTAACGCTCTGAAACTTGATTGGGACGATAACTAGAACCATTTCGAACATTCCCACCAAAGGACAACCCCTTACCTGCCGTCGGAGTGTCTTAAAAACTACTCTTAGTACGAAAATAATAGAAAAAAATTGGAAAAACACATTTCGAGAAACTGTAACGCTCTGAAACTTGATTGGGACGATAACTAGAACCATTTCGAAGATTCCCACCAAAGGACAACCCCTTACCTGCCGTCAGAGTGTGTTAAAAACTACCCTTAGTACGAAAATAATAGAAAAAAATTGGAAAAACACATTTCGAGAAACTGTAACGCTCTGAAACTTAATTGGGACGATAATTAGAACCCTTTCGAACATTCCCACCAAAGGACAACCCCTTACCTGCCGTCGGAGTGTCTTAAAAACTACTCTTAGTACGAAAATAATAGAAAAAAATTGGAAAAACACATTTCGAGAAACTGTAACGCTCTGAAACTTGATTGGGACGATAACTAGAACCATTTCGAACATTCCCACCAAAGGACAACCCCTTACCTGCCGTCGGAGTGTCTTAAAAACTACTCTTAGTACGAAAATAATAGAAAAAAATTGGAAAAACACATTTCGAGAAACTGTAACGCTCTGAAACTTGATTGGGACGATAACTAGAACCATTTCGAAGATTCCCACCAAAGGACAACCCCTTACCTGCCGTCAGAGTGTGTTAAAAACTACCCTTAGTACGAAAATAATAGAAAAAAATTGGAAAAACACATTTCGAGAAACTGTAACGCTCTGAAACTTGATTGGGACGATAACTAGAACCCTTTCGAACATTCCCACCAAAGGACAACCCCTTACCTGCCGTCGGAGTGTCTTAAAAACTACTCTTAGTACGAAAATAATAGAAAAAAATTGGAAAAACACATTTCGAGAAACTGTAACGCTCTGAAACTTGATTGGGACGATAACTAGAACCATTTCGAACATTCCCACCAAAGGACAACCCCTTACCTGCCGTCGGAGTGTCTTAAAAACTACTCTTAGTACGAAAATAATAGAAAAAAATTGGAAAAACACATTTCGAGAAACTGTAACGCTCTGAAACTTGATTGGGACGATAGAACCATTTCGAACATTCCCACCAAAGGACAACCCCTTACCTGCCGTCGGAGTGTCTTAAAAACTACCCTTAGTACGAAAATAATAGAAAAAAATTGGAAAAAACACATTTCGAGAAACTGTAACGCTCTGAAACTTGATTGGGACGATAACTAGAACCATTTCGAACATTCCTACCAAAGGACAACCCCTTACCTGCCGTCGGAGTGTCTTAAAAACTACCCTTAGTACGAAAATAATAGAAAAAAATTGGAAAAACACATTTCGAGAAACTGTAACGCTCTGAAACTTGATTGGGACGATAACTAGAACCATTTCGAACATTCCCACCAAAGGACAACCCCTTACCTGCCGTCAGAGTGTGTTAAAAACTACCCTTAGTACGAAAATAATAGAAAAAAATTGGAAAAAACACATTTCGAGAAACTGTAACGCTCTGAAACTTGATTGGGACGATAACTAGAACCATTTCGAACATTCCCACCAAAGGACAACCCCTTACCTGCCGTCGGAGTGTCTTAAAAACTACCCTTAGTACGAAAATAATAGAAAAAAATTGGAAAAAACACATTTCGAGAAACTGTAACGCTCTGAAACTTGATTGGGACGATAACTAGAACCATTTCGAACATTCCCACCAAAGGACAACCCCTTACCTGCCGTCGGAGTGTCTTAAAAACTACCCTTAGTACGAAAATAATAGAAAAAAATTGGAAAAAACACATTTCGAGAAACTGTAACGCTCTGAAACTTGATTGGGACGATAACTAGAACCATTTCGAAGATTCCCACCAAAGGACAACCCCTTACCTGCCGTCAGAGTGTGTTAAAAACTACCCTTAGTAAGAAAATAATAGAAAAAAATTGGAAAAAACACATTTCGAGAAACTGTAACGCTCTGAAACTTGATTGGGACGATAACTAGAACCATTTCGAACATTCCCACCAAAGGACAACCCCTTACCTGCCGTCGGAGTGTCTTAAAAACTACCCTTAGTACGAAAATAATAGAAAAAAATTGGAAAAACACATTTCGAGAAACTGTAACGCTCTGAAACTTGATTGGGACGATAACTAGAACCATTTCGAACATTCCCACCAAAGGACAACCCCTTACCTGCCGTCAGAGTGTGTTTAAAACTACCCTTAGTACGAAAATAATAGAAAAAAATTGGAAAAACACATTTCGAGAAACTGTAACGCTCTGAAACTTGATTGGGACGATAACTAGAACCATTTCGAACATTCCCACCAAAGGACAACCCCTTACCTGCCGTCGGAGTGTCTTAAAAACTACCCTTAGTACGAAAATAATAGAAAAAAATTGGAAAAACACATTTCGAGAAACTGTAACGCTCTGAAACTTGATTGGGACGATAACTAGAACCCTTTCGAACATTCCCACCAAAGGACAACCCCTTACCTGCCGTCGGAGTGTCTTAAAAACTTCTCTTAGTACGAAAATAATAGAAAAAAATTGGAAAAACACATTTCGAGAAACTGTAACGCTCTGAAACTTGATTGGGACGATAACTAGAACCAATTCGAAGATTCCCACCAAAGGACAACCCCTTACCTGCCGTCAGAGTGTGTTAAAAACTACCCTTAGTACGAAAATAATAGAAAAAAATTGGAAAAACACATTTCGAGAAACTGTAACGCTCTGAAACTTGATTGGGACGATAACTAGAACCATTTCGAACATTCCCACCAAAGGACAACCCCTTACCTGCCGTCGGAGTGTCTTAAAAACTACTCTTAGTACGAAAATAATAGAAAAAAATTGGAAAAACACATTTCGAGAAACTGTAACGCTCTGAAACTTGATTGGGACGATAACTAGAACCATTTCGAACATTTCCACCAAAGGACAACCCCTTACCTGCCGTCAGAGTGTGTTAAAAACTACCCTTAGCATGAAAATAATAGAAAAAAAATGTTTTCTATCATTTTCTTACTAAGGGTAGTTTTCAACACACTCCGACGGCAGGTAAGGGGTTGTCCTTTGGTGGGAATGTTAGAAATGGTTCTGATGATCGTCCCACTGAGTTTGATGGTGTTACACTCTCCCGAAATGAGCTTTTCCAATTATTTTAATAATAAGGGTTGATCCCAGCCTGACGGCAATGAGGGGTTGTTCTTCGAACTAGACGTACTTGAGGGCTATGTTAAAGACTATTCTAAATTTCAGGGTGTTATATTTTATTTTAGAAAAGTTGTTTTGTAGATATTAATGTTCTACTTGATGTTTTATTAGGGGTAGTTTTTTGTTTTGTTTTTCTGTTGTACTTTGCCCGAGGGTATATAATAATAATGTACACAAAATTTGTAAATCAACCATTTAAAAAAAAAAAGAGCTGCCAAAAAATGGCTGCTAACTTCACAATTTTGGCTGCTGCAAAAAGGCTGCTAACTTCACACCGGTAAGGACATTCAGGTAAATGACAAATCAAAAAAAGCCGAATTTGTTTCAAAATAAAAAAAAGTATGTTAAACAAAGTGCTTACACTTCCTCCAAACTTTCGTCCTCCTCTTTCGATTTGCCACCAAGCTCCTCCTCATACATAGTCAATCTAGTATACATTTGATTTTCTCTTGTCAGCAATTCTTCTTCCTTGTTCCTCTCAATTTGTTGTTCAAGTTCCATAATATTGAGTCGCATCAGTTGTATTTTTTTGTGCGCTTGAGCAACCGAAGCTGATAGCATGTGCTCAGTAATGGTCCTGTCTGAGAGTTTCTTTCCCAGTTTTCTAATTTCTTCACTGAAAAAAAAACAGATTATAGTCTATGATTTTTATGATAATGGCCTTTACTTTTTAGACTCAATCATATCCTGATAGAACATGTATTCAGCACACAAGTCATCACTTGGAGGTGTCAGGTCTTCTTCTAATTGTCGGGTTTGTCTTTTGTTGATTTCTTCCAAGATTTGGATACGATCATTTAAGGAATGTATGATCTGAATTGAAAAAAAAATAGCCAAAATTTTTGACAAAAATTTACGAAATTATACGTACCCCATCGCGATCTTCTTGTATTTCTTCCAAGTCCTTTTTCCATAAATCTTGCAATTCGGCATTTTCTTTGCGCAAATGTGCTATGATCTGTTCATGTTTGCTATGTTCGTGTTTCAAGTAAATGTAACTTGATTTCATGTCATTAACGGTTTTTTGCAAATGAACACGCCTAAAAATATACAAGATTTATTACATTACATTATATATCATACTTATTATTATAACAAGAACTTGTCCCACATCAAATACATGTTTAGATCACTAATTTTTTTTGTCAGAAAAATATATTGGGAAAATATTTTACAAGAGAAAAATCCTTAAAAAGCAATTCAAATTAATCTTAATATCATCTATGAATGAGATTACAGATAAATCCAAATTCAAATTTAAAATGAAATCATTGAAAAAGCTTAAACCATGATGATGGATAACAAATGGAATTATTATGATTGTGAAGTTCAGTGTAAAAATTATAATAGCTTTCGCTTTGACCCGACTACTGAAACGAGCTTGAAGCGTAATAGTGGGGGTGTCCCTATATGTAAGGAAACACATATCGGCATCTATAATTTCCCCTCATGGAACTTACTTACATTGGCAGATATCCAGTCACAAGTACCAAGTACGACAGGAATGTGCAGTAAAGATTTACTTCATGTCAGATAACTTTGAGTGTGCAGATAAAAGCATTCTAGACATTTGTGGCTTTTTATGTAGTAGTTAGAGATATCAAAAGCAAAATAGACATCAAAGTATTCCCTTTTGCGAACAAGATTATTAAGGTCTAAGTGAGTCATAGTCTGGTCAACGCTGAGAATCACACCACAGTTTGTACCTAGCAAACTTGATAAATTTGTGTTGAACACTCTCAAGCCTATTGATGTGGATCTGATAGTAAGATGACCAAACTATGCAAGAAAATTCAAGAACGGTTCTGACCAATGACGTGTAAAGAATTTTTATGGGGCATATACGTGTAAAGCCCTAGTAGCTCTTTTAATAAAACCCATCATTCTAGTAGCACTGCCAATTACCACTTCAAAATGCTTGGTGAACATTAACTTAGCATCTAGATCTGATGATACAACTTCAAGTCATCAGCGAAGAGTAGAAAATTTGAGCAGAGCAACGATCCTAAATCATAGATAAATAGGATGAATAGAAGGGGGCCCAAGTGAGAGCCTTGGATCACCCCAGAGGATGCACGGAAAAGAGAAGAAAGATAGCCATCGACCTTGATTTGTTGCATTCTGTTAGTAAGGTAAGATTTCATCCATGAAAGTAAGGGTCTAGAAACGCCATAACTTGAGAGCTTTAAAAGAAGGATGTTATGGTTTACCTTATCAAAGGCTTTATTGAAGTCAGTATATACCGGGTGTTTTTCAAAACCCGCTCATCCCTATAACTTTTTTATTTTTCCAAATAAATAAATGAAATTTGGTGTGTTTATTTATGACTTGGATGTGCATTATTTGACGTATTCAATCATTTATTATCACTTCCGGTTCCACCAGAAGTGACCAGAAATTTCTTATATTAAATGAGACGCCAGGTATATCTTTCCTCATTTCAATAGAAAACTACATTACGAGTACAATGACACCTCATTTGTCACTTTTTGACATTTCATCTTCAAATTATTTAAATTTTTACTTTTCAATCTAGAGCGCCATGAATTAGTTAAAATGCTTAATTTTGCTTCAAGGAACCTGGGAAAATTTGTCTTGATCTCATTTTGTATTTTATATCCTCAACAGAATCATTCAAAGATAGTAGAAGGTAGAAGCGCATTTTTGGAATTATATCAATTTTTTCAAATGGAAAGGGTATGGCTCATTAGCATATTCCGAGAAAGCATTTTCTAGCGAACAATTTAGTACCAAACAATCGCTAGTTTATTCAAATATTGAACTAAAATTCTCCCAAAATATTAAGAATGCTAGGAAAATTCTTCATTTGAGTGATGAATTAGTGATTGTGTGGTACTGAATTGCTCGTTAGAAAACGCTCTTTTGGAATATTGTAATGAGCCACACCCTTTACATATGAAAAAATTGAGATAATCACAAAAATGCACTTCTACTATTTTTTAATGAGTCTGTAGAGGATATAAAATACAAAATAAGATCAACATGGTTTTGCAAGGGGCAAATCCACAACCTCCAACTTAGTTGTCATTACTGTTGAAGGCTTTGGAAGACAAAAAACAATTTGATGCTATCTATACAGATTTTTCCTCGGATTTTTCCAAAGCCTTTGACAGTGTGTATGATGGTTTGCTTTTATTTGTTAAAAAAGGAAATGATGATGTTATTACAAACCCTCGTGAAACAAACAGTATATACAGGATGCAAAATCTCAACAATTGTCCCTATTCCAAAAACGTCCAATGCACAGATGGCAGCAGAATTTAGACCTGTTAACAAAAGTTTTTGAGAAGGTCTTGTATGAGCAACTTGTAGATAATTTAAAGGAAAATAGTATTTTAGCTCGATATCAGTCAGGGTTTAGAGCAAAACATAACTGCGCGTCCGCTATAAAATGTGTATTGGACGATTGGAAGCGCTATAATGACAGGAATCAGGCGGAGTGTGCTGTTTTTCTGGATTTGCAAAGGGCTTTCGAGACAGTGAATAGAAGAAGGCTGCTTTTAAAACTGAAAAAGGTAGGCATTGAGGATGGGGCACTGGAATTGCTTCTAAGCAATCTAACTGGGAGAAGGCAGAACGTCAGGGTTAATCAAGTTGAATCAGAACTGATAGAGACCACAATAGGTGTTCAACAAGGAAGCGTTTTAGCACCATTGATGTTTCTGGTTTATATTAATGACATTGTTGAAGTTGTTGAAGGAATTGAGATCCAAATAAATGATGATGTAGTATGTTATTTTCCATCTTCAGATGTGGAAAACATGGGAAATGTCATTAATGGAAATCTGGACAGCATACATAGGTGGTGTTGTGCAAACTCATTGAAAATCAATATTCTAAAAACAAAATGTATGATACTGGGACCAGACAGGTATTATAGGGAGTTTGTAAGCAAGGGCATTGAAATAAAAATTGACAACAATAAGCTAGAAATTGTGGAAAAGTTTAAATATCTGGGGATCATAATTGATAAAAACCTAAAATTTAAATGTCATGCTGATTATGTTATAAAGACTATTTCTTTCAAGCTCTCGTTCTTGTATCCATGTGCCTTTTCTTTGACTTGGTGGTCAAAAATTTTACTTTTCAATTCATTGGTGTTGCCACATTATACTTACTGTTCCACAGTTTTGTATTTGTTCCAGAAAAATGAAATGAAAGATTGAATGCTACAAAATAAGGGAACATGGATGATACTATCTTGTCCGAGAAGAACACCTATTCATAAAATGAAAAACGCATTGGAATGTTTCTCAGTAAAGGAACTTATTTTGTACAACACAATGGTGTTTATTTTCAAAATTAGGGTGGGACTGCTGCCAGCATATTTAACGAGTAAGATAAACTACATTTCTCAGAGGCATGAAAGAAATTTGAGATCAAGGGATAATTTTGATATCCCTAGGGCCCGGTCTGTACAAGCAGAAAAATCATTATTTATTAGGGGATTAATTGAATTTAACCAGTTACCGACTGATATCAAAGGCTGTGAACAAATCAATACTTTTAAAAGAAAACTTAGACAATATATTAGAGATAAGACAGATTAAATTACAGTGTACCTATACTTTTAGTTTTATTTATTTGAGTGATTTAGAACATTTCTGTTTTTTGTTTGTATTGCCAGTTTTATATTAAATGATTGTATTTGAAATTGATGTGCAATGGTAATTGATTGTTTTTCTGTGTTTTTTTTTTTAAGAATAGATAAGGTTAAGATGTTATAAGGTAACTCCAAGATGTAATTAGTTATAATAGCTAAATAAACGTTTACAACAACAACAGTCCATCGATTTTAATCTGATACTCCGAAAGAATATGAGCTGCTGGCTCCCTACATCAGAACGCCAATGGTCAGTATCAGATTAAAAACGACAGACTGTATGTGTATGTGTATTTTGAAAATATTTACCTGTCATCCACTTCTGCAAACAGTGAATTTCCTTTACTCTCCTTCTGCAAAGGTTTATTTTTTAAACTTTCCAATTCGCTATTAATAATAAATAAGTCATCATTCAACTGATCAATTAATAACGTTTTTTCCAAAAGTTCCTCCCTTTTCGTATTTAAACTTTCTTTCAATTCACATATTTCCTCTCTATATTCAATGAGTTTTTCGTCCATCTCGTGATGCCGTGACAGTATCATTTCATAATCGTCTTGCAATTTTTCTAAATTTTCTCTCAGAATTTCATTTTCTGCTACAATGTCAGGTTCATTCAGCTTCAAAGAAACATCGTTATTCTCTTCTAACAATGCAATTTTTTGTTTGAGAATTTCCAATTCGGCTTTCAATGTTTCATTTTCTTCTTCTTTTTTTGCCAAATCGTTTTCCAAATGTGATGTAGTTTGTGAATGACTTGATCTAGAAGAATAAATTATGTTTAGACACCAAAATTTCGCTAGAATAGATTTTAGTTTAGGAAGCTTCTTTCATTCTAATACTTCTTATAGTGTTTTAAGCGAGGTTTTAAGGGTTTAAAAAAGAGATTTGATAATATGAATGATAAGGAACATTTCTGCTGTGACATAAAATTATTAAATAAGTATATTCTAAATAAAAGGAACATAAATAATAAAAGTACATATTTATTGATTGTCTCTACTTATACTAAAAGCGAGAATTGTAGGTTGTAGGTAGAATTTGTAGGTGGTAGACGCTTTTTACTCATTGGGCGTCGACCGGTGAGATTCCACCATGCCAGAATTGAGTAGCGCTAAGTGGTATCATCACGTTCCGCTACTGCGCTGGCAGTCCGGTTCCAACAATGAGTAACAGATAGCATGATGGCGCCTCCAGGATCAAAATATTCCGGAGGTAAAATACCCGACCACTCGGATCTCCGGGCGTCGGGTGATCCTGGGGGTCCTTCATGCAAAGATATAAAGAGAAGATCAAAAACTCAACTCAGAATTGATTTTAGCAATATAAGAGGAATAAGTACAAATATGAATTCAGTTCTACAACATCTTGAAGAACAAAGACCTGACATCCTTGTTCTCACTGAAACTAAAATCAGTTCTGCAACACCTATTGTGAACTATCTTTATCCCGGCTATGACCTACACCACCGATTTCGACATAATTTTGGGATCTGTGTGTACATTAAAAATGACCTTTCATGTCATCGAGAGAAGCTAGAACCAGCGAACCTTGATATCATATGGCTAAAATTCACCTCAAAGTCATCGACCAAGTTTATCTGCTGCCTCTACCGACCGCCAAGTAACACCGATTACCAAAACTTTTTCGCGACATTATCCGAAAGCTGTGATAGTATACAGTCAAACTATCCACAGGCGGAAATTGTCTTTTTAGGCGATTTCAACGTCCACAATATACCCTGGCTGAAACACCACAACAAAACAGATAACGAAGGCAGAGAAGCAGAAGCTTTTGCCATAAGTTGTGGTCTAACGCAGCTTGTCGATGAACCTACCCGTATCTCAGAAAGGGGCGAATTTGCAGCGCTTTTAGACTTGTTCCTAACCACCAATCCTGACTCGTACACAATTCAAGTAGATGCTCCACTTGGTTCGTCCGATCATAAACTTATAATAACAAAGTGCGAAATGCTCATCCCACCAAGTCTACAACCACTTCCTCGTAAAATGTGGCACTATAAATCGGCAAAATGGAATGACCTAAAACAGTATTACCTGGATTTTCCATGGCAAGAGGTTTGCTTTAAAACAGCTGATCCCACTATTTGCTGTAATGAAATAACACAAGTAATCTTATCTGGAATGGACGCATATATCCCACATACAACTAAACGTAGAGCTAATGCAAAACCTTGGTTCAACAGCCAGTGTCAAACGGCTGTACAGAAAAAACACAGAGCATATAACCTTTGGAAACGACAACAAACCGCTCAAAAACACACAGAATTTATAGAAGCCAGAAATAGTTGCAAAATTACTATTGACTCCGCTAAAGAAACATACAATCAAAGAATAAAAAACAGGTTGCTGAATTGTCCAAGTAGTTCTAGGTCTTTTTGGTCTCTTGCAAAAGCTGTTGGATCTAACTTCACCAAGTCATCCATACCACCACTTACAGATAAAAATAATCACTTAGCCACAACATCAGAGGAAAAAGCCAATATGCTTGCCCAAATGTTTTCCTCCAACTCCAACCTAACAGTGCCAAATGGAAAAACTCCACCGTTCATTGAAAGGGTTTCCCATAGTATGCCAGAGGTACCCTTTTGTCACAGAGAAATACGAAAATCCCTAAAAAAGCTGGATACAAACAAAGCAATGGGTCCGGATGGCATTCCCGCAATAGTACTCAAAAATTGCGCCAACGAACTCACCCCAACTTTCGCAAAATTATTCAATTTGTCTTACAGGCAAGGAGTATATCCATCATCATGGAAGTCTGCCGCAGTACAACTCATTCCAAAGAAAGGAAAAAAGACAGATCCGTTAAACTATAGACCAATTGCTCTACTTCCGGTGATATCAAAAGTAATGGAAAGAGTTGTGAACAATCACCTAACCAAGTACTTGGAAAAATAGAAAATTATCAACGATAAGCACTACGGATTTCGAAAATATAGGTCAACTGGCGATTTACTTACATACGTCACTCACTTATGGCAAAAAGCGATTGAGTTGCGGGGTGAAACAAGAACAATTGCCTTAGATATATCTAAAGCATTCGACAAAGTTTGGCATGAAAATCTGCTCAACAAGCTCAAAGCAATGGGATTATCGCCGAAACTTTGCACTTGGTTTGAAAGTTACCTAAAGGACAGATCCATTTATGTTGCACTGGATGGCCAGAACTCCAACTCTTACCAAATAAATGCTGGTGTGCCACAGGGAGCAATCCTTTCGCCAACTCTTTTCCTGATTTACATAAATGACCTCATAGATAACACAGTAAATCCACTTTATTGCTTTGCAGACGATGGCAATGTAGTCTCCTCACTCATACCACCCACAGGTCTTTCCGCACGTGAATTTCATCATCTTAGACTAACTCAAATATCGCAGATAAATAACGACCTGGAGATAATAGAGGACTGGGGTAACAAAAACCTTGTACAGTTCAACGCGCAGAAAACCCAAGCAGCTCTGTTTTCAAAAAAGACCAGCACCGGTGAGCCAAACATCATGCTATCTGGAAGTGCTGTCACATTACAGAGTCAGTTGAACATCTTGGGGGTTACTGCAGAGACCAACATGTCTTGGCACAGTCACGTGGCAGATATTGCTAAAAGGGCCTCCCAAAAGCTGGGGGTGCTATTTCATACAAAACATCTGTACACACCAAGCCAATTGCTGACACTCTACAAAGCCCAGATTCGACCAACTATGGAGTACTGCTCACATATATGGAGTGCAGCACCCAAACATACCTTAATACCTTTTGAATACCGTGCAAAAACGAGCTATCAAGCTGATCAATGACCCCGCACTTACTCGTAACTTGGATGGTCTCGAACATCGCAGATCTGTGGGCGATTTATCTCTCTTCTACAGGTACTATCACAGAAAATGCTCTGAAGAGTTGGCACGTATGATTCCACCGAGAGTAGCACCTACCAGGCGAACCCGTCAAACAGACGGTAACCATGAATTTACTGTCAAACTAGAGGCACCAAGAACCTCATTATATCAGAATTCATATCTCTGGAGAACAGCATCGCTGTGGAATAAACTCCCTGCGACGGTTTTCCCTGCAGGTTACAACCTGAACCGTTTCAAGACTAACATACACCGACATTTCCGCGCACTTGCCGCTTCTCGAGCGTGATAGGACATTTCCTTGCGAGTGCGCATATCCCTAAAAAAAAAAAAAGCTTACCTAAGGATGTTCAATGCTTCTTCCAAACTTGATATTTTCTTTTCGTATTTCAAGCCACCGTTGGATTTTTCTGCTTGTAGAATTTCAATTTCGCCCCGATATTCAAAAATCAAGGCTTCGTTAACTTTTTGTTTTCTTTTAACATGATGTAAATCTTGCTTTACCTCTTCGTATTCCTGTTTCAAGTTTTTATGCAAATCCAACAAGGCATTATAATCACCAGGAGTTGGCGAATCCATAATTAATAATCTATTGTAAAATACGTGTAAAATAATTAATATATTTGTTTAAAACTCTTTAAAACATGTGCCCAACCGTCTTTGCTTTTTGTTTGAAATTTAATTTGTAATTTTACATTAATTGTCATTTGCCAAAACAATGACATTTGTTAATTTTAGCGAATTCTTCTGGTAGAATTTATGCAGCACTTGAATTTGGAGTACAATTACCATTTATCATTTATTAGAGGATTTTTGCGTTCCACCAATTAACTCCATAGAGAAATACAATTTTAATAGTATCTTGTAATAAAAATATTTATTTTAGTCACTCTTTGCAAAGACTATCAAAAACTGTCCGAGATTTTGGAGCAGATCTACTAAGTACAAGTGAAAACCCCTTCCATGCTTTTCAGTCACTTGTCACCTCTAAACTGTCAAAGTGTTGTTTACATTTTACTTTTACAGTAACATTTTGTTCGTTGTATGCATTTTTATAGTTTAATCTCCTATAATTTCAACAATTTTCATTCAAACTGAAACATAAAAGTGCTCCGACACTCCTAATACTGCACGCCAGCTTTTTCTCTACTACAAAGTACCACAAACAGCCTTGTTAATGTTGAACTATGGACAAACTAGACCCAGTGACTAGTTTCGAACCTAATTTCTTATCCAAGAAGCACAAGAAACACAAAAAGGAGAGGGACGATAAACCCCAGTTGAAGCTCATATTAAAAGTAAGCAAATTTGTTTATATAGGATTCCTTTAGTATGGAGAGGGTTCATTAAATCTTTGGTTAGTGTTCACACAATAGGCCACTTTATTCAAATTATTGTGTTATAATCAATCGAATTATTTTGCTTCGAAAACGTGGGCTAGGACCGTAACATCAGAGTCCCAAAAATGCAAGAATGCCGAATTTCTAATTCAATTTTATCTCCTGTCCAATGTGAATCGATGTGTCTAGCTCATGTGCATTCGTCGAATCGAAACTCGTAAAATCTATTCCTTGTCTTTTATTACCAACAGGAATTGTACATTTTTTCAGAATAAAAAGTAGCCTATAACACTCCACTTTATATAGAGACTACATGGTATAAAATTCAAGGAGATCGGAGATCAGTTCAGTGATTTCCGATTTCATAAACAACGAGCAAACAAACATTAATTTTTATATATTAGATTAGACAAAGACTGAAAATGCCTTAAATATACTAAATAGTTATTTATGGTATATTTTTTCGAGTGACTAAAAAAACATAACACACAAGTAGCATACCTACAGTGTTTTATCCAACAACTGAGAATTCCGAGGAGAAATCATAACACACGAGCAGCATACAAGAACTGAAAAAACTAACTGATACCTATTTTATGGAAATGAGTCTTTTTTAAAGCAGTATTTATAACTTTTTATTTCCTGACGTCTTGTGTTGATATTATAAAAGAGTGACCTATATAACACACTAGTGTGTTATTTGATAGTTTACCTGTCTAAATTGGCACAAATAAATAATGACTAATAACTAACAGATTTTGGATAATAGCTAAATAATGCTTTATTTTCTACTCAACACAATGTTCGTGGGCTAATGCGCTCAACTACATGGGAAACGTTGAAGGTAGACCGGGTTCGAATCCTGGCCAGACCAAAAATTATTTTTGTTCGGACATTTAGCGGCTGCCTAGGGTAAAGTGCAAATTAATAAAACAACAACAACAAAAACACCTCACGATAGCTTTATTTATTTCACTTGGAACTAGTTTGGAATCATTCTGCACAAGCGCATATTATAAAATGCATTCTCGTTTTTCCAGAATCGTAATCAAAGTGCGTTGACAGTGTTTTGGTTTATCTAGAACTATTTAAGACAATTCTGGGATTGTTCCATAACGGTTCTCTCAGTTCTTGCTCTGACGGAGGAACTGTTTTAGAATTTTGTGATTTGCGACGTGTTTGGGTTTTTCTGGTTCCGCATCGGTTCAGAACTAGTATTAGAACAGTACTTACAATATTTTTTGTGCGCAAGCAGTTCTGCGCAATGCCAGAACCGTTCCAAATTATGAACCAAAACGATGCTAATAGGTCTGTTTCTGCAGAAATCACAAACCAGTCGGAGCGAATTTCATTGGCTGAAAACCGAGGGGTAAACCGCTGACCAAAAGTTGTACACTAAAATACCATATTTGACAAATACCTAATACCAAAAATACCCACGTAAAATACCAAAAATACCAAAAAATACCAAGAATACCAGAAAATACTGAATTTGACCAAATATTACCAAATAATACCATATATTACCAAATATTACCACAAAATACCAAAAAATCCAAAATAATACCAAATATTACCTTATAAATTCAGCTTAACAATCTATTAAATATGCTTCAAGAGAGATATGAAACCTGGTCTAAAACCAAGTCTAACACCATTATACCTATTTTCTTTTATATTTAGATGTGTACAGGGTGGGCCAATTTGGACACTTTTAATAGGAAACGTCAATTTCTGGAAGAGATACAAAAAAATAAACCCCCCACTCTGAGGCTCAAATTTCATGAAATTTTGATTGGTGCAAACCGCATTTTGATATCTTCAACCGTTTAGCCGCTAGAGGGCGATTCTCGATTTTGAGCAATATTGATATCAATATTTTATGCACTGAGATATCAAAATTTTATGTACTGAGAGAATTTCTGTTTTCTAAACTAACTACAATGGTTTACAAGTCACTTGTCGAATCACTTGTCGAATCTTTGATTCGCTATGGTCTGGTGATATGGGGTGGCACATACAGGAGCAACTTGCAACCTTTAAAAATTATTCAAAACTACATTTTAAAAGTAACATTCAAAAGGAAAAAATTATATCCAACCAGATTATTGTATAGCATGGATATTTGCAATATAGAATGCCTATTTATTCATTGTGTTTGTGCATACATTCACAAAAATAAAACACTGAAAAGAACTATAGACCACTATCATCAGACTAGAGCCAATATGGACAATCATCTAACCATCCCAATTAACAGGAAGACTGTGAATCTAAAATTTGTAGATTATCTTGGCCCAAAATTTTATAATCAACTACCTAATAATATAAAGGCTATTAATAGAATTAAGTCATTTAATAGCGAGAGCAAAACTTTTATTGTAAATAATTCTAAAATATTTCTAAGAATAATAATATGAGACACACATAGAACAACACTTGGTTTACTGACCGCATTATTTATATTCACTTGTATTTATATTTGTATTTAAATTTATATTTGTAAAAAAGGAGTCTATTTTTACAAGGATTAAACTATTTTAAGCATGTTGCAATTTAAGGGAAACATACAGATGTGCAAACATCTAGGTGACCCATTAACTTTTCATAAATACCTATTGTGAAACTTTCATAACTTTTTTGTTTATGAAAATAATTGATTTCTGTAAAGACTTTCTTGAAGCACTTTTTTAAGCAAAATTCAGTAACGTTTTCAGTTTTTTCCTAATTGACTCCGATTTCGAGATATTGACCAAAATCCGATTTTTTTTAATGGAACATCCTATTAATTATTAGCTTATTGGAAAGCTCTGCTTTTGCTGATTTCAATGATATTAAATTCGATAGGATTATCACTAACTGTTTCCGAGAAAAAAAATTATTTCTGTTTTTGTCATAAGCTTACAGATATAAAATCCTTTTCCAACACATTGATTCTTATGACAAAAATCGGAATAATTTTTTTCTCGGAAACCGTTAGAGATAAAACTATCGAATTTTATATCATTGAAATCAGCAAAAGCAGATCTTTCCAATAAGCTATTAATTCATAGGATGTTCCATTGAAAAAAATCGGATTTTGGTCGATACCCCGAAATCGAAGTCAATTAGGAAAAAACTGAAAACGTCACTGAATTCTGCTTAAAAAAGTGCTTCAAGAAAGTCTTTACAGAAATCAATTATTTTCATAAACAAAAAAGTTATGAAAGTTTCACAATATTGTAAGTGTAAGTAGTGGTCGCCTTTAGAACAAGTAACCTGTTAAAAGAAGTCTCGTGAAAAATGTTAAATTTTACTAGTTTTACGTTGAATTAAATTACGAAAAGTGGCAAAAGTTATCAACAACATTCACTTGGTATGTACACATACTTTTTTTTGCACTTTGGCCTTCTATAAGTACCTAAATTGAATCATTGTTGCTAAATTGAAATAACCAGACATTCCGATCGGCAAACAAAAAAGCGTATAGGTGAACCAAAGATATTTGAGGTGAACATACACGTTAAAATTTTAATTTTAATTTTCTAAGTAAAAAGGAATATGCCAAATACAACAGGAGATTTAAGCAATAAGGATCAGTTAGAAGAGATTAAAAAGTTAATTATTGCGAGCAGCAATGATCTCAGCAGTAAAATAGAAAAAGTGAACGATGATTTAATTAAGGAAAATCATGTTTTAAAACACAAAATAAAAACTCTTGAAGACAAAAATCAAGATTTAGAATTAAAAATAAATGTTTTAGAAAATAAAGCTAGGCAAAATAATCTTATCATATATGGGCTTCCAAATAAAACTGAGTTGAAAGGAGAAAACTTAGTGAGATGGGTAGTGGATAAACTTAAAAACCTGTTGGAAGTAGACCTTAATGCTAATGAAATAAATAATACGTACTATTTGGGCAGACCAGAAACCGAAAAAAAACCACTTTTAGTTGAATTAACAACTTACATTAAAAAGGACATCTTGCTTAAAAACGCCCGCAAACTAAAAGGAAAATCTGTCTTTTTATCGAACGATCTAACTAAGGCTGAAAGAGAGATTAATAAAGTTCTATATAGTAACCTTAAAGAAGCTAGAAAACTTGGACTTACGGCCTTCATTAAAAAAAACAATTTACATGTGGGAAACGATATTTACACATACGAAGATCTGTTACAAAGTGATATTTTCAAATCGAGATCTGGTGATTTAGACGAAGATGTTTTTTATGGGCCGCCTCCGAGGCGCTCTGTAAGCGTCCCAGGTTTATCTGCGTTATCCCTGACGGAAGATGATTCGAACGACTTTTTCGTAGCAGTAGACGATACCCCTGAACAAGTAGCCGCGACACCAATTGAAGAGCATAAACCAGCAAATCTGCAAGAAAATACAAAAACAGGAACAGACGATAAAAAAGGAGACAAACAAGACCCAAGAAGAAAAGTAATAACCAGAAATCCTGCTGCGGTAGATACTCCTCCTACGAAGGCAACTCGATCATCTAGTCGCTCAACTCGACAAAAGTAATTTAGTAAAATTTGGTATGTATGCTACTTATTGACATTCATATTCATATAATATTATATATAGTGTTTGTGGCAACGTTTCTAAATAAAACATGAATGAATATATAAAGAAATTTACTCCTACAAATCATGAATGCTTGACAATTAACAACGTTAAAGATTATCAAAAAAAAGCTAAAAAGTTTAAACATTCACTAAAACTATTCCATATTAATGTTTGTAGCATTGCAAAAAATTTAGACGAACTTCTTATATTTATCAAAGGATTAGATGAACAGTTTGACGTTATTGTGCTAACTGAAACATTTATAATTTATGATCCAAGTCAATTTCACATTCCAGATTACGATTTTATTTACAATGATAGTAGGTTAAATAGAAACGATGGTACAGTAGTTTTTATCAGGTCAGATATTCGTTATGCTTCTAGAATATGCAATATTGGGCTTACAC